CAGATACGACATCTACAGATGTAAACAGAGAGAGATAGAGAGAAAAGAGCGAGCGAGCTACAGAGAGACAAGTACAGGTTAACAAGACTTACGTGGCTCTTAAAAGTGCCTTTGTTGTGTGTGTGTGTGTGTGTGTGTGTGTGTGTGTGTGTGTGTGTGTGTGTGTGGGGGGGGGTAAAAATAAAGGAGAATGTTGAAAGCTGGCAAATTTGAAGGACCTCATAAGAGAAAAAACAAATATTCAGAATTGAACTCCTTACATATTTACCAGTATTTTCTTCATCCGTGCTGGCAGATTGGGCCGTTTTTGATTGGTTTGGAGTTGTACTACGTGGGATCAAATGGCCTTGGACAGCTGGAATTTGATATTTCTGTTGTACTCTTTTATTTCTTTAAGGCAAATGACAGACATGGGAAATAGTTTACAACGTAGCCTTCTTTAGAGAAGAACACTTCATTTGCTTTATTATGACATATTGAAAAATTGTGATGAGCCACAATATTATTGTCGCTATGAAATCATTTGTATGGTTTATTATTGGTAAGATTTGTGTGTCGACTATATAATTTTGTGTGGATTTTGAACAATTGCTGGAAAACACACCAATCTGGCAACACCGTTCTTCATCTGAACATTTATAAATGGCTAGTGTTGTGAGCTACTGTAATATGGGTAACTGAAAACACATCATAACTAAAAATGACGTCAGCGCCACTGATTAATTGATTTATTAATAAATAAATAAAAATAAAAACATCATTCAATCATTTAATCAATCAATAAATAAATAGATAAATAATAGGTTTGCATTTTAATCATTGATTAATAGGTTTGCGCTGATTAATCATTGTTTAACACACATTAATCACAGCACATTAAATACGTTTATCAACATCAACAAGCCTCTGACAAAAATACCAGCATTACCTATAAAACACTAAAAAGTGCATACTGCTGTTACTCGCGCCATGGAGCGGGAAATGTGGTTGATACCTGATTTCATGCTCATGTGAATCATCAAGTGAATGAAACAAGTTCCTAGCCCTCCCTCTAGCTCGCCTCATCGGCAACCTGTCAGCCCAACAGTCCCTTCAAGCCCTTCATCCCGAAGAAGTCTCCATATTCGCCGTTGTCCTCCTGTGCTGAACGCTGTTTCACAGACGGCACTGTGATATCAGACAGCCAGTGATTTTAAAAATAAAAAAATCAGTTGGAGAGCTAGGTAAATATGACCTGGGGGGCGCCAATTGACTCGCCCTGCCATAAATAATTCATTGTAGCCTATAAAACACTAAAAAGTGCATACTGCTGTTACTCGCGCCATGGAGCGGGAAATGTGGTTGATACCTGATTTCATGCTCATGTGAATCATCAAGTGAATGAAACAAGTTCCTAGCCCTCCCTCTAGCTCGCCTCATCGGCAACCTGTCTGCCCAACAGTCCCTTCAAGCCCTTCATCCCGAAGAAGTCTCCATATTCGCCGTTGTCCTCCTGTGCTGAACGCTGTTTCACAGACGGCACTGTGATATCAGACAGCCAGTGATTTTAAAAATAAAAAAATCAGTTGGAGAGCTAGGTAAATATGACCTGGGGGGCGCCAATTGACTCGCCCTGCCATAAATAATTCATTGTAGCCTATTCTTTTTTATTACTATTTATAGTCGTTGCGGTATGCTTCCCTAACACGTCAAATATCAACGCAGCGGGCTCCGGTCAGAAGTCTGTGGGATTCCCTGCACGTTGAAAAATGACACCAAAGGGGTACCCAGTGCGTTAAAAAATGATGCCAAGGGATCCTGACCAAGCATCCATATGTGACGAGTTGGGAGTGAGAACGTGTTGTCTGGACATATATCGACGAGTGAAATAAACACTGCAAGTCGAGCACCTGGTTTCTGAATCCAGCAGAGGGGGTGTCCATCGAGGACCCACCCTAGAAAAAGGACAAAAACACACAGGTCCCAGGAAACACTGCAAAGAAAGCTAGCAGAAGGATTATACACACAACCACCAGCGCATTAAATACACACACACATATACAGTATATATATATATATATATATGAATGAATGAATGAACGATGCATTTATATAGCGCTTTATTGTGTATTGTTGTACACCCAAAGCGCTTTGCAATCATTATTAAAAAAGAAAAACTGAAATATCACATGTCAGTAAGGTGGTCACTATGAAGCCATAGAACCAACCAAACATCATAGGTCCAGTAGGAGACTGTAATACAGGAAGTTCCCCCCTAACTTCGGTCAGGTGGAGAGATGTTGGTTACAGGGGAATTAGGAAGGGGAAGATAAGGGCAGATGTTAAACCCCCTGAGGGAAATGAGTAGATACTCAAGTATCACTCTGATCCGGACGAAAGCGCTGGCGCCTTGTCTGGATCACATCCCTAAGGTCTTGCCTACCTCCCTTTGACCCGCCTTCGCCTCCCTGAACTTCTCGACCACCGTCTCAACGGAGGTACCAAATAGTTCAGAGGACGAAACTGGGGCATCGAGAAGAAAGCCCCTTTCTTTCCTCCCGATGTCTGCCAGGTTCACCCACAGATGTCTCTCTGTCACTACCATCGCCGCCATGGATCTGCCCATAGCAGAGGCGGCCTGCTTAGAAGCACAGAGAGCGAGATCCGTGGTGCGGCGCAACTCAGCTACCTCATCAGGAGAAAGGCCCTCGCCTTTATCCAGGTCTTTCAGCAGGTCAGCCTGATATGCTTGGAGCATCACCATCGTGTGCAGTGAAGTGCCAGCCCGACCTGCTGCGGCTGCATATGCCCTGCCATTCAAGTGAGATGTAATCTGAAGGGGCTTGGATGGCAAGGAGGGAGTTTTGAGAGAAGATGTCTCACCCATAGAGAGATACCGGGGGCATTCTCTCATAGCCGTTTTCGCGCATCGCCTCGATGTTGGCATGACTGGTATGCTGGAACCGATGGATGCGTGAGGAAAACGGCCTCTTCCATTCCTTCTCGGTCTCAGTATGGAGATCAGGAAGAAATGAAGGCTCACCTGAGCTGGAGGGTTATGGCCAGAAAGATAGCGCTCATCGAGATGACCTCGTGACGTCACTTCCTTAGTCACCTTCCTTTTTACCAGGAAAAGAAAGTTAGGAAATATACAGCTTACACTATATGGTCAAAGTATGGAAAGGGTAACAAAGTTCAAATATTTAGGTTTATGGTTTGATGAGAAATGTCTATGGAGGACACATGTTAAACAGACTGAAACGAAATGTATTAAAGTACTAAATCTTATGAGATCAGTTTGGGGATATGATTGGGGCGCAGATAAACAGTCATTACTTGATATATACAGGGCATTAATAAGATCATGTATTGACTATGGGTGTATGGTATATGGAGCAGCGAATGTCTATGGAGGACACATGTTAAACAGACTGAAACGAAATGTATTAAAGTACTAAATCTTATGAGATCAGTTTGGGGATATGATTGGGGCGCAGATAAACAGTCATTACTTGATATATACAGGGCATTAATAAGATCATGTATTGGGTGTATATGGAGCAGCAGCTAAGAGTGTCCTGGAAAAACTAGACAGAATACAGTTTAGAGCTCTTAGGCTTAGTATTGGTGCTATTAAAAGAACTCCTACTAATGCGCTACTTGTAGAAACTAAAGAATTACCACTATACTTAAGACGGATAAAGCTGTCACTGACATACTGGGTTAAGTTAAAAGGATATGGGAAAGAACAACTGGCTACAGAGGTCTGATGTGATTGCTGGGAGTATTTGCAAGAGTGAAAATGTAAAGGATTTGGTTGGAATATTAATACAGTAGTGAAAGAATATGGTTTAAATAGATTTGAGTACGGCCCAAATACGGTATGGGGTAATGTTCCTCCATGGATATTTCCAGTTCCCAATGTAGACTTGAAACTTTTAGAACTAAAGAAAGAATGGACTGAAAGGAATGCTGATAATATTGGATATTTGGCTAAGGAATATGTTACTATCAGTATATACCAATATTCACTGATGGATCTAAAGATTCAAGGAATGATCATGTAGGAGTAGGAGTGTACATACCAGAGTTTGATGTAACCATGTGCAAAAGAATTAATGACAAATTATCTGTATTTACAGCTGAAGTAGTAGCCATAATCTTAGGATTGCAATGGGTAGAAGAAGACCTCAAAGAGTTATTATCTGTTCGGACTCTGTTGCAGCTCTTAATAGTTTGAATTCAACTGAAACAATAAGAGAGGATTTATATAAAGAGATATCCATGATAATGTTAAATATAGAGAGAATTGGAATTAATCTTCAGTTTTGTCGGGTTCCAGCTCATGCTGGTGCGGAGGGCAATGAGATAGCAGATTTGACTGCAAAGAATGCACTGAAATTAAAGGACGAGGAAATAATGAAAGTCCCATTTGGTAAAGGTGAGGCCAAATCATTAATTAAAACAAAAGTGAGAGAATCATGGCAGAAAAAGTGGGACATAGATAACAAAGGGCGATATTATTATAATATTCAGAAATCGATTAAGGTCAAGGCTTTTAAAGGGAAATGCAGAAGAGAAGAAGTGATTATATCAAGATTAAGACTTGGACATACTGGTTTAAAATCAACCCTGTTTTTAATGGGGCAGTGCATATCAGATGACTGTAATGTTCCAGAAAATGTGGAGCATATCATTATGAGGTGTACAAAATATAATGCAGAAAGGAGGATCTTGCAAGATAAGATATATGAGTTGGAACAAAAATGGAGTTTGAAAGGGATTTTGGGGGCAGATGAGAAAATGTGGGAATGTAGTAAGGCTCTTTTTAATTTTCTTAAAGATACAGGGCTAGAGTATATAGTATAAAACTATATAGGAAGTTTTTTTTATTATTTATTGATTTATTATTTTTTTGTATGATTATAACTATGATAAGTACATGAAGTACAGTAGGTGGCGGTATGCACCTGAACAAGTTGGTTGCGACCCGCCAATAAAACCAGAGAGAGCGAGAGAGAGAGAGAGAGAGAGAGCAACATTTTCTACGTACGCAGAACGGGAAAAGAAGTACATCGCAGCGATGGCGAGAACCAAGCAGACGGCTCGTAAATCCACCGGCGGCAAAGCCCCGAGGAAGCAGCTCGCTACCAAAGCCGCCCGGAAGAGCGCCCCAGCCACCGGCGGCGTCAAGAAGCCCCATCGCTACAGGCCCGGCACCGTGGCTCTGCGGGAGATCCGTCGCTATCAGAAGTCCACCGAGCTGCTGATCCGCAAGCTGCCCTTCCAGCGTCTGGTGCGAGAGATCGCTCAGGACTTCAAGACGGACCTGCGCTTCCAGAGCTCCGCTGTCATGGCGCTGCAGGAGGCCAGCGAGGCTTATTTGGTCGGTCTGTTTGAGGACACCAACCTGTGCGCCATCCACGCCAAGAGGGTCACCATCATGCCCAAAGACATCCAGCTGGCCCGCCGCATCCGCGGAGAGCGCGCTTAACCCCGAGTATCTTTAACCCCCAAAGGCTCTTCTCAGAGCCGCCTCAATTTGTCTAAAAGTGGAGTTTCCTCGTCGCTGTTGCTGAACTTGTTAAAACCCACTCAAATCCCACTTCTAGCATGCGACATGGATATGCAGAATCTACAGCGAGCTCAAATGTTTTTCGTTAATGCAACGCTTCTGTAGGAAGATCAGGAAAAGCTGATGTGTTCTGCTAGTGGATATTAGATCTGTCTTTGTTTGAATGCTTTTCTCTCTGCAGCTGTAATACTGATAACATGTAGAAAGATGATTCAGTGCTGGCTAGATTACTCACAAGTTGTGTTTCGCTACTGATTCCAAATTACATGACAAAAATAGTACATAAAAAAAATTACATTTTAGGAAATATAATCAGACTGCTTTTAGATTACTTTGGCCTGTCTCGTTTATTGCATTGATTTAATTAGGCTATATCTCATATCTTGTTTGAGATCAAAAATCAAAAAAACAAAGATTAAGAAAATACATTATCCATTGTTAATAACAACATGACGCGCATTAAACATTATATTATGTCAAGGTATCCCAAGCTGGGGTTTGTGAAGGAACTCCAGGGGGTTTAAAACAAAAAAAATCTAATTGAATCATAAAAAAGTTACATTGAAATATGTCACTTAGTAAAAATATAAAATATGTTATGTGTTTACCTGCATGTCCTATGATAACCAATGTCAGAGGACCATGGACATTCAAATATGATACTTCATTATTAAAAATATTTATTTTAAAATCTCTGGGGTACTTCAAGTAAATATAATAGGCCTTTTGAGATAGAAATACATGGTTAAATAACCTAAAGTCAGGTCTTGACATTAACACCCGCCAACCTGCCAAACGCAGGTGGATTTCAGGAGTCACTCACTGGCCACTTCGGCGGGATGAATAGCCTACAGCTTATCTGAGACAAGTAGATTTTTTTTGAAGGGGAAGTGAAAGAATTTTACTTGCCCGACCGGACAACTAATCTGAAATCTTAGTTTATTTTTTTTCTATATGTTAGCAAGAAATTAATTTAATCATTCAGTAGTATTCCAGGAATTCCTCAATTTACTTGTTTTTGACCATCACAAAACAGGGGGGGGATCTCATTGTGAAATTAATGCTTTCTCTAGTTCATGTTGGCCACAATTATTGTAACGTACTTTTCCCAAGAGAACAGCTCTGAGTTTTCTCCTATAATGCCTGAAGAGTTTGGAGAACACCTGATGAGAGATCAGAGACCATTGCTTCATACAGTAACTCTCCAGATCCTTCAGATTCACAGCTCCTTCTCTTCAGTTCACCACTCATTTTCCATAGGGTTCAGGTCAGAGGACTGGGACAGCCATGGAAAAAGCTTCATTTTGTGCTCAGTGACACACTTTTGTGTTGATTTTGATGTTTGTTTTAGATTATTGTCCTGATGGAAGATCCAACCACAGTCCGTTATAAGATTTCTAACAGAGGCAGTCAGGTTTAGATTTTGTATCTGTTGGTATTTGATAGAATCCATGATGCCATGCATCTGAACAAGATGTCCAGGACCTTCGGCAGAAAAACAGGCCCACAACATTAAAGATTTAGTATATTTAACCTTGGGTACTTTTTATCCGTTTGTACTAAACCCATCTGATGGGTTTGCTGCCAAAAAGCTATTTTTTTAGTTTCATCTGACCGTAGAAGTTTGACTGAAACTGAATTTGCTGGAGTTTGTTTTTGGATGAGCGAGGAGAATTTTTCTTGAAACCCTCCCGAACAACATGTGGTGATGTAGGTGCTGTTTGCTATATTTTTTAGGCTTTCTGACCCCATTCACTACACATTTTCAAAACTCTTTACACAGCGAGCACAACATCAGTCTATGTGGGATAAACTGTGGATTATTTACCATTGCTTTGGCACAAAATGCATTCTTGAAATCTCAAATTACATGAATTATTTTATCACTTCAACACAAACACCAAAACTGTGTGTACTATACAAACCAATTTGCATGCTTACAAACTGCTTTCAAAACTTAAGTTCAAAACCTAGCACAGTACAAAAATGAATAAGACATCAATTTGCAACATTTATTCAGTAGTATCATATAAAAATACAGCAGGTTACCCAGGAATACCATGTTACCATCAGTGAATCGGTCGTGCTATTAACGTCATCACTACACAATTTCTTAGTAAAACCAAAATGAATTAAACTGCCTTGTGTTCTTTTTGCCATGGTGGCTATATGGTGCTAACTGCAGAATGGATTTCAAGGACTTCGCGCGCAGATCAACGGCCTCCAACCTTTATATTGTTTCTACGAATCTTGAGTTAACATGTACTAAACATGAGTGGAATTTGCGCCGCAGCGCCCCACAGCTTGATGCTCTCGACAAGAACAGCAGTGGTGGACGAAGAACACAAATCAAGTACTTGAGGAAAAGTACAGAATACAATATTACTCCAGTAAAAGTAAAAGCACTCCTTTTTCAATTTTACTCGAGTGAAAGTACAAAAGTACTGGATTTTTTATGTACTTAAGTAAAAAAGTACTGATAGATAGATTTATTTTGGAATTGTATATAAGCTACTTAGTTTAATTTTATATTAGCACATCTTTTTTATAACCTTACTGCTCAAAATACCCGGGATTTCCCCAAAATAAGCACTATATAGAGTCCAGATATATTTGTGTTGTTGATATGGACTAGGTTGAGGAGAGTGTAGTAATGTTCACTGTGAAGATTACACTGTAGTGTACCTGAGAGAAAACAGATCTGAACATCTGATCTTCACCAGCAAGAAACAAGCGTTTTAAAGCTTGTTGTTTTGCAGAACATCACAGTTATATATGACATGAGAATAAGGCCTGAAGTTAGGAAGAATAGAAAGTGCTAGACTTAGAGGGTCAAATAAAGTGTTTTTAGTTGTTTCTTGAAGATGGTTAAGGACTCGGATTGAGTTGGGCAGGTCATTCCACCAGGAGGGAACAGTTAATGTAAAAGTCTGATTGTAGAGGTTTGATAGAAGTGGCTGGAAGACCTGCCAAGAGAGCTCTGCAATATATAACGCATATATAAAACGTTAAGGAGTTTAAACTGGCCTACACTTTAACAATTTATTCCACTACTACTGTATGTATGCTATCGATACCGATACTTTCATTTTTGGTACTCGCCGATACCGATACCTGTATTTTCAAAGCATTTGTAAATTTTTTTTTAATAGTGGGTACAGAAACTAAATAATAGTAATAATAATAATATCAATCATGTTAGTTGGCTTCATTTAGCAAACAGATGTTATTTCCACACTTAATTATACCTGTTAAAATGTATTGTATAAGCTTTTGTTACTTTCAGTATTTATTTTAATAGCGCATTAGAGCTGCTCCTTTGCAGCAGCTCAATACTGTAATCACAAAACCTTTTCCTAAAATAATGCAGGGAACCACTCGTTATACATCATACGAGTGCACGCGTACTATTTTGGTGATGTAATTTGCGTAACACGCAGTGTACACAGACCCTCGCGTACATGGCGGCTCGTGGGTTTTAAAATAGAGGAGGCACACTAATTGTATTGGTCCCTGATGATTATTATTGATCCCTATTGATGATCCCTATTGTAGGGGAATTTACAGTTAAACCCAAGGACCAGATATGATGAACAAAGACCAGGGGCCTAATTTATAAAGTGTGCGTATGCTCAGATTTGATCTTAGAGTGTTCATATGCTTAAATCCACACCAACGCTCATATTTGTAAAAGCTGGCTTTGATGTGGGAAAGTGGTTGGTCAGGTCAGGGTCTGAGCAGACGTATGCTCTTTTTCTTGTTCGAGTACTGCAGGTTTTTGGAAATGTAAGCTGTTCTTGCAGCTCGCTGTTCTAAATGAAATAAAGACAAATGCAAAGTATGCATATATCTGATTGTGAGACAACAACAATAATAATAATAAACAATAAATTGCAAATACTAAGCTCAATCATAGTATACGATACCCAGTTTTGGAAAGGTTAGTTTGGAAATGTAATGGGTTAAACGTTACTCTAATTAAGACTTAATATGTAGTGCAACTATTTACATTTGATTGCTTTTTGATTACTTTTTCAAAATTTCTAACAGATTATTTCAACTGTTAATAATTTTCAAACATTTAAAGCAGACAGGGTTAACTACAGTACAGGACTCGACAATGATTACTGTCAGACTTTCAGAATCCTTCATCACTTGATTTAAGATTATAAAAGTGTAACTTTAAAGCACAAAATCAGACTTTAGCACCTCTTCATAGTTTGAGATCGTTCTGAGGTTGAATACAGATTTAAAATAATAGGATATAGTTTAGCACAGTCTAAAAAAATGCTGGGTTAAAATCAACCCATCGGGGGTTATTTGGCAACCCAGCGCTGGGTAAATATTGGACAGTATATATTGGTTATTTTGGCCCAGCTGGTTGGGTTAAATGTTTTTTACCCATCATGTGTTGTTTTATTTAAGTCAATTATTGCTTAAAAAAATATTATATTGCTGGCTTAAAATGGGCTGGAAATTAAAAATCACACAGAATTACTAGAGGCAACAGCAATAATCAAAAGATGAACGTATTATTAAGCAAGAACTCACATGGACAAAATACAAGACAAATGTAATTTATGTGGGTGAATACAGCATAGTTTACAATACAACATACATTTAAACGCGTTTAGCAATCATTTTAGAAAAAAATAACTTTAAAAAGTAGCATTTTAATTTAAGTGTATTCAACCGTTCTCTGTAACCACTTTTTACCGAAATTTACTCTTGCCGGTGTGTCGCCGCAATCTGAGCCGGTGAAGGGCTGCTGTTTGCGGGGGAACTGCGAACCTTAGACCGCGGCCTCGCGTTTCGCTCGTATCGTTAGCTGGAAGATTATTATTATTATTATGCAGTAAAAGAACACACAAATTACACAGAGCAATAGAAAGCATACTATGTTAGCTTATAAGACTTACACCACGAAAGAGTCATAGAATTAATAGATTTTCTTAAAGAGTTTACATACACTTCAAAATATTTCCTGAAAATAAAAAGTAAAGAGTTTTCTTTGAAAATGTACATTTATTAATGTAAAATAGCAAAAAATGAATGATACATTTACAGTGAGAAGGGTCTAAATTCAAAGAGTAACAAAAAAAGTGGGGTTATACAGAAGTTTGGATATATATATATTATTATTTTAAAAAAAAATTCTCCAACCCAGAACACTTTACAATAAGCACAGTCCCAAAATAAATGATTGATTGTTTCTTCAGACTGAAGGCAAAAGGAGCAGCTGGGGGAAATTCTATTGTTACATTTAGCAAGTTTGTAATTTACTCGATAGCAATTATGGATAATTTTGATAGAGACTTCAACAACTTTATTAGACAAGAAGAATTGTTGTCGAAGAAGCCAAAACTCTTCCCATTCTATAGCATTAAATG